TTTCTATATAAATCTTTAATCATGTTAAGTCAAATGCTTATAAAGTATCCTTCTCTTCTTGTGGAGCGGGCCGAACGCCTCGGCAGTAGATAGATGCAACTATGGATCGTGCCGCACATCCCTCAGCAGTGCACACGTTACTCTGGATCGGGCCGTACGACCTCGGCATAAATCGTGCTTAATAATAATACTTGGTGTCTTGATATTTTGTTGTGGCTTGTAAGATTACAACCTTTAAAAAGGAATGATTTATTTGAAAATTATACAATTGTGAAAGAATCATTTGCTCCTGCTTGTTGAGAAGATTTGAATTTATTTACACATCCAGTATTTAATTAAGATTTTATCTGAATAATTATTGACCCATAGTGAGTGTCGAAGTCGACCTCTCGTCACTACTTTTTCGAGATTAGATTTGATACTTACTGGGTACACGTTGTTTACGTACTCATGCTACACTTGGTGCACTTTTGTGTAGGATCTGAGACAGGTGCATCAGGCGGTCCTACCGGTGCGCATCCCCGATATCCCGAGGCCTAGTGGTGAGCTACTTTTCCTGAGCCGTACCGCAACACCTAGTGTCTCTCTTCGTATTCGTATTCTATCTATTTTATGTTCAGACATTATTTAGAATTTTTTATAATCTACTAGATGCTCATACACTTGTGACACCAGGTCTTGGCACACACACTAGTAGAATTGTGGTATTGAATTATTACGTTGGTTTTATTTATTTAAACCTTTTATTTTCTTAAATCTTGCAAATAAGGAAGTTTAATTACTCGAAAATTTATTAAAAGAGGAAATATATGTTTAATTCACTAGTTGGTTTGCCTAGCGGTAATGTTGGGCGCCATCACGACCTATAGGCGAAATTGGGTCGTGACAATCTTGCTCTTATCTTTCTTCTTAAAGAACCGTTTTCGTTTCTTGGAATTTGGCTTGTTTCTTTTCTTTGAGGATCCTTCTCCGCTCTCCTTACCCTTTCCGTTGTTTTTCCAGTTATTCTTGTGCTTGAATCTTGAACTCTTTGTACCACTTGACTCTGCCACAAAGACACTAAATACAACTTTAGCATCACAAAGCCGCTCATCTTCAAGCTCTACATGACGGGCAACATCAGCAAAAGTTTTGATATTGTCATTGTGGGTCAAGTTAACCTTCAAATATTCCCGATTATTGGGAAGAGACCAGATCACTGCTTGAACCTACTGCTCATCGGAGAGAACATGACCAACACTTTTCAGTTGAGCAGTCATGTTTGACATCACCCTTAAGTGTTGCTTGACACTATGATCATGACGCTTCTTGTACGTATCAAACTTGATTGTCAGTTGTCTAACGCGAGTCACAGTTGTACCGACATATGCCTCTTTTAAATGTGCCCACATGGCTTGAGCACTAGGATATTGCTCACATTTATGGATGACATCATCAGTAATTGAACTTACAATAATTTCACATGCAGTGAAATCTTTCTTTTTCCAAATATTATAAGTTTCCAGATTCCTCGTGTGTTGGGCAGTGTTGCCCTCCTTTGGGTGACTCATAACATGGTTAATACTTTCAAGAGCATACTTACTCTTCGAGTACATACCACATCTTACGACTCCAGATGTCGTAATTTTCACCATTCAGTTTGTCACTCTTGTTCAAGTCAGCAATAATACTTTTCAATGCCATGTCTGTCATTAGAGACAATATTACAAGTTTAACTCATCATCATATACTTCAGTCAATTTATGCATGTGATTATACAGTCAAGCAAATTAATTATAATATTAATTCTACATTTAGTATAGAATCGAAATGTCACTATGTTTTCATTCATCATCTATATATAAATATTTTAACTAATATTAAAATCACTTCTTAGTGTGTATTTTATTTCAAGTCTCAATCCATTATAAAATAAAATAATAAATAATATATGTAACTAGTGAGATAAATAACATAATTTAAATTTTATTAAAATAAAATATATAATAACAATTTACATTTTTGCTAGGACATACATGAACCAATCGAACACTAACTCTTGCACATATACGCTAAAAGGTGCACGAGGCCAAATATCATGATAAATCTCAATTAAAACTTCATCTCAATGCTCTCAAAGAGAGTCCGCTAAAATATCTGACGCTTTCCAATCAATAATCTCTATGTAATTAGGTAATTTAGCTCTTTTTAACTAAAAAAGGTGTACATGTTCGGGAATGAATGTATCGGGGCCCATTTTAAATTTCTTAAACTCCTTAAATTTCGTTTCTCCTTCCCTTTGTTCAGCCCTTCTATCCTTTAACTCATTTTGCATCGCCCTCGGGACTATCTTGATGACTTCAGGCTCCGAGTCAGAATTATTGTGGAAACAAGTCATGCAACGATGCATCCTTCTACGTTGTCCCCTTACTCGACTTCGAGAACTCCCACTTGAAGTAATTCGAACTTGTCCTTGTTCAGCCATATCTGAAATATGACCAAGGAAACAATAAGAATGACTACAATTATTCAATGTGACAACATATGTCATAATAACTCGTACAAGTATATCAATCTAAGGGATAGGGGCTAAACTAATTTTCTACTTTAAGTAGACAGTGAGTTCAATTAAGACCAATTCTCATAACACATAAATTCATTGTCTTAGCAAAGTACTTTGACAGATCAGTGTAAAGATATCGCATGAATCTTTTCTACTAGATTATTTTACTTAGAGTCAAGGAAGCACTGCATCAAATTCGGTTAAGAATCAAACAGCAACAAAAATTTATATATATAATGATGCAATATCATAACCATTCACGTTGGGGAAATATTAGAGAAACAATCTCTTTTGGATTATCCATTATCAAGTAGTTATTCTTTAAACCAAGTGCAGAAAGACAAATTTATATATATGGATTTACCGGACTTTAAAGTTATTTTCTGAAAATTTACATTTCAAGAATCAATAAATCCAAAACATAATAATTGCACTGTAAAGTCCCATTATCATGGACCCCAAACTTCATCACTTATTATATCCACGAAGAGAATAAACGATCCCTCCTAATTAAAAGAGGCCTCTTGTCTTTTTCGAAAAAATAAATAAATAAATTGATGATTCAATTATTGTAAAGATATTATGTCCCACTCATGGACTAGCAATAAGACATTATAAGTTTATAGTCAAAGAAAATTTTCTTTCTACTCTTATATTATTAGTATAAAACGATAAGATGAATCTTTCAGAAACATTGTACCTTCCAAATACTTGTCCATCAGATTCTTATCTTGTCATACAATTAATATCAAGCCATGATATATTACTACGAAAAAATTTATAGTTGTTACAAAAATAAAATTAATTCATGGCAGTAGCAAAATTCTTCACAAAATTTTATGAACACACATATATCTACTTGGTGGTAGACAGAAGAAAATAGCAAATTACTCTCCTTGAATTGAAGATGAATCCTTTCCGTGTTCAATTAAAGTCAAGTAAAAAGAAGTCATCTAATCAGGAAACACTATTAGGATAAGGAAAATTTTTCACATAAATTACAAACATCGAATTCATTCAAACTCTCTTTAATCAACGGTGTAATAAAATTAATACTGATTTAAATTCAATTGTGTATTAATCTCAATAGAACATACTTCAAAGGCTCTGATACCATTGTAAATTGAATTAAGGAGCACGAACAATAAATTGTGTGTATACGTTGTTATGTAGCGAAAATTGTTGCAATTGCTATCAAGATAATTGCCCCAAATCTACTTTGAATAACTAGAAAACACAGTTTATTTCACAAACTAAATCCTTCTCTCTTTTGTGCATGTCTTATGTTGGGAAAAGAAAAAAAATATTTCACACACTTAGAATTCTTCTGCAGGAGAGATATACAGAAGAGGAATAGAGGAAAAACTACCAATGAAAACCACCGTTGCACGTTCCCGCATTTCTCAATAATATGTGGTAGTTTTTAGGAGTTATAAAACCTCAGTTAGTATCCTTAAATTTAATCTCTTCTAAAATGGATCGAGTCAGTCCACATAGGCGACCCGCGACCCAAACCTAATATCCAACACCAAGTTTGAAAATATTTCATGCAAAATTTTATTTCTTCTCGTAAATTGTAACTATTTTTCAAGTAAAATGCTTGTAAATTTTAAATACTTTTTTTAAAAACTTTAATTCTAAAAATTACTTTTAAAAAGAATTATATTTTTATGTTTGAACGCTTACTTATTGTCTATTTGGTCAAGCTTCTAAAATCAGATCATTTTGAAAAGTGTTTTTCAAAGAAATGCTTTTGCTGAAATAATTTGTGTTTAGCTAATTAATTTAAAAGTATTTCTGAACATCAATTAATATTTAACCAAGTTTTTAAAAAGTGCTTTAACTGTATTTTTATCAAAAGTATTTTTTTTAGAAAAATGCTTAGGAAAAAATTACTTTTTTTTTTCTTCTCAAAAACTATTTATGCTTCTACTCAAAAATATTTTTTCTTTTAAAATCTTTAATTATGAAAAAAATATTTTTGACAAAAAACTTTTTGACCAAATATGCTATTATTATCGAGAAACTTTCGAGGGACCAAATGCGAAAGACTGGCAATAACAATTTCTTTCTTTTGCTTCACGACAAATTACAAAGTTGAAAAAGCAAAAAGTTCAAAGCAAAGAAAAAACTGTGGGCTCATAATAAAATATCTTTAAAATTTCCACATACGCTATTGTCATTAAAATATCCCAGGAAAAAAAAGCCCCACTGTATAACAGGGCCGCCGCATCCTACGTTTCCATTTTTACGACCGTCATTTGATCACGATGACATATAGACACAAATCTACGGCCATAATTTGATTGTCACAAATCTAATCAACACCAACAAGTAATACTATCTATCTTCTAGTGGAAAAATATTAAAAAATATCTCATCCTTATCCATTCCCAATTCCTTCTGACTCCTCCTTTCTCTTTATATCTAACTCATCCTCTATTTATATCCTTAAATTTCTTCAACAATTATTCAGCATTTTGATGATATCTTCTTATCTTGGTTCTAAAAATATCAATGGTGTTACAAGCAGTGACTTTAAATTCATTATCTTCTTCTCTTGTTGGAGCTAATGAGCTTCAATATTCTTCAAAAAGATCATCTTCTTCAAGATTTAATGTAATTAATTCGTCGACAATACGTTGTTGTTCAAGGAGCCATGCTTATATACCAAAGCTGGAGCCTTTTAGCAGAACCAAGTTCGATAGGGTTGTAAAAGACCCTCCTTTGATTGAAAAATCCGAAAACGAACTTTCAGGTATTGTCCAGATCTTAATCTCCTGTACCTGTATTTTCTTAATTTTACGTTTCCTTTGCCTGTAAGTTATTGATTAGATTGCTCGCTCGTTTAATGTTATAACAAATTCTTCAAAATTTCTCTTTCCTGAATGGTTGATGAAAAAAAAAAGAATTGCTTTATATAAAAATAGTGGTTCCAGGGAAATTTCTCGTTTCCTTTTTAAGAAGTTAATGTACGAGCCAGCTTGCGCACACCACCTTCAGTTGTCTATTACGAACTACGTTCGTATTCACACAACATAAAAATAAAAATTGGGGATCTAGTAACTGGACATCTTTTTTTGTTGTCTAAAGTAAGTATTATCTGCTTGTTAAAATTACTAATGGAGTACTCTGTAAATGGTAATGTGCAGATTATTGTTCTGTTCTAGAAGGGGATGATTCCTATAGCTGCTGGCAGGCCTATTTTGAACTCAAAGATCTTGAAGTAAGTTCTCAATCAGCACTGTTATAGGTTCTTGAAATAAAATTTTGTAGCCTTTTTATTTGATGGAGTCTTGCTACTGTATTGATTCTGTGTTGTCAGATAGTAGGCTTTTGTTTCTGTCGATTAAGTAACCTGTCTAGAAAGTTGGTTCTTAGTGGGTAATAAAAATGAGATTGGCTTTGTATTAATTGTGGAGTGTTTTTTGACAAATTAATTGTGGAGTGTTTGTCAGCAATTCCATTCTTGGGACGATTGTGGAGATTGTTTTAGCTGCTTATCTGTTTAGGCATTTGGTAGAATGGGACTTGACAAATTTATATGACGTTGTGTGCGTATATGGACTTGACCGTGCCTTTTGAGTTGCCTCATTGGGGAGGAGAGTTTTTAATACTTTTTATTTTGTATAATATTGGACTGAGATGGGCTTAAATTGAAGATTCATTTATTCAAGTCCAACTTGGTTTTGGGTTGAGCCGAAGTAGTAGTTGTGTGTATATGACTACCAGATAGTGTGAGAGAACAATTCCATATAAATTGGATTCTTAGCTGTACTAAATACTGATCATATAAATGAAAAGTAGCCCCATATCACAGATACTCTTATAATATCCGTTGAAGATATCAATCAAGCCAATTACTTGAGCTTTTTGTAAATCCAAACAGAACAATTGGCCAGATATTTAATGTATAGCACCTTCACACTTGTTTTTGCTTTTGTTTTTCTTTCCAGAAAGAAGCTCCTAAGGAGGAGGTAGAGAGGCTAATACTTCAAGCAGGTGGAGTAAAAACTCTCATTGGTTGTTTACATGGAGTTTCAGACATGCACAAAGCAAAACGAGCAAGCAAAGAATCAGCCAAGATTGCGAATCTTGAGGAAAAAGTGGCAAGACCTTGCCCTGTCCCTGATGGATTACCAAAGACAAGAGAAGAGCTTGAAGAAGAGGAGAAGGCTAGAATGCCAGATTCACCCTTTACTAGACTTCTCAGAGCCAAAGGAACACACCCTGTTTGGTACTCGTCTGCACTTGATTATTGACATGGAATCCATAAAAAGCATGCTTTTGGAGCTTTAGTGAACCAAGTAATAAGGTCAAGAAATGGAGTTGAAGGGTGTTTCTTGGCCAATGTGGTAAAATTTGTGGGATGTTATCACGTATTTTTGTTAGTGTAGCATAAAATAGTTACTTAAAATAGTTACTCTATTGTTTAGTTAAGAATTTCCATTTGTTTTGAATGTAAATATGGTTTGGTTTTTGGGAAGTTTTAATTGCAGTAAAGTTAAGTTTCTACGTGCTCTTTGAGGTCTTTTCTAGATGGTGTTAAACTAATGTCGCTTTCCCCCTTTTAACAGTTTGCTATTCCTACTAGTTAAAAGCAAAGGTATGTTAATGGCCTGGTCTGGCGATTAAGCACTTTAGTGGTTTCTAAGCACCTAACCTCGGTATCCCCCACCTCCC